GCTGGGATTACAGGCGTGAGCCACTGTGCCTGGCCCGCGTATCCCTGTTTGTAGCACCTATTACCTTACGGATTTATTTGTTTGCATGTCTGTTGATCTCCCTGACTAGAATACTATTACTAGGTAATAAATAAATATATAAAAATATTTGTTGAAGGAATGAGAAATGCCTCTTGGGCTTGTACTTTAGTCTGGCTGGGAAGTAGGAAGAGATTGTTCTCCTGGGAAATGGGCCGGGAGTTTCCTTGAGGGTGGGACTTGACTGAGCAATTAGAGAAGAACTTTCAGATCCGCAGGGACCTGCGCTGAGGCCCAAAGGTCATGACGTCGCCGGTGATAAGAGCTTCTTGGACTGTAGCTGGGCAATGTCGGAGGTCCAGCACCTCCAAGAGATAAAGAAATCTAAGTTGAGTTTCCCTTCCCGTAGGCTCCAAGCCTCCCAGAGACGCAGGGACTGTACCATTCCCTTCGTCCACTCCCACCTTTCCAGCCACCTTGCTTTGCTCTTATTCCCACGCTAGTTTAAGGACGCTGACCACTTTTTGCACCCTGCAAATCCTTCACCAAACTGAGCAAAGTAGTCTGAGAGAAATCAGTCTTCCTCAAGGAAGGTTCAGACCTAGGGTCCTCAGACAACCAGGGGCTCTGTGACAATCTGTAACTGCCGAGCAGTCCAGAAACACCGGCCTCTCCACGTTCGGGTCCCTTGTTTCTCAGGCCCAGCTTGGTGGGAAGTTAAAGGCATGAGGAGAAGGGGAAGGGGAGCGGGTGTGAGTCTTCGGCATGGCGGGGACCTCAGCCCGGCGTGGCGGTGGGAGTGAGCTCAAGTGATCCACAACTGGGCAGCGTAGCTGGGGCTGGGGGCCGCTCCCGGCGTGGGCAACCGCGGAAGCAGAGGTGTCCCCAGGCTAGGCCAGGGTGGGTTTCCGTTCGTCGGCCCTGCGTGGGCAGATCGGGCGCTGCGGGGCTGTGCCACCCCTCACCCTCTGAGAAACAAAGGGCCTGGCTGCGCACGGGTACCCAGCCATTGGGTTAGAAGCTCTTTCCGGTACCCCTGACCTGAGTTAGCCCCGAAAGACCCACAGCAGATGGAGAATGTACTGCTCTCGCGAGGTTTTCCGAGAACGCGGCAGCACGCCCGCGTACGCGGTTACCAAGGCAACTGGGCGGTGCCTGAGCTGGCGGAAAGGAGGAGTTCGTCTAGATTTGTCCGCTTGCTGGTGGACTTCGGGAGTCGCAGTCTCTGAACTTCCAGCCTCAGAGACCGCCGCTCTTGTTCCCAAGGGCCATGGGCCGGGTCTCAGGGCTTGTGCCCTCTCGCTTCCTGACGCTCCTGGCGCATCTGGTGGTCGTCATCACCTTATTCTGGTCCCGGGTAAGACCCACGGCTGCCCTCCGTCCGCCCCCATTCCCATCTCGGAGTCGTCCCCGCCCCACCCTGCCCCTCTCCCAGTGTCTTACCCACTTGGGTTTTCTCGTGTTCCGCCGCCCCCAGGCCTGCCCAGCAGCCTGCCCCTTTTTCACTTCTCTTCCTCTCTGCCCTGCTCCCAGGACAGCAACATTCAGGCCTGCCTGCCTCTCAGGTTCACCCCCGAGGAGTATGACAAGCAGGACATTCAGTGAGCTCTTGGGACGGGGTGGCCAGAACAAAGAGGTGGTGGGAGTGGAGGGGTCTTAGAAGAAGTCCAAAGGCCTGGGCCAGTCCACTTCCTCTCTGCAGGCTGGTGGCCGCGCTTTCTGTCACCCTGGGCCTCTTTGCAGTGGAGCTGGCCGGTTTCCTCTCAGGAGTCTCCATGTTCAACAGCACCCAGAGCCTCATCTGTATCCTTTCTGCCTGCCCACCTTTCCCACACGACCCATTTCTATCAGGACTCCCTTCAGCCACCTGACACAATAGTGTCTGCTGTAGCCAGTCTCTCCAGTTCAAAGATCTTCAACCATGTGCTAAATCCTGCTGTTTACTAGGCACTTAAAATTCCGAAATGAGAGTAAAATACAGTTTTTGGCCAGGCACGTTGGCTCACGTCTGTAATCCCAGCACTGTGGGAGGCCCGCGCAGGAGGCAACATAGTTAGACCCCGTGTCTACAAAATAAATAGTAATAATAAAAACTCCACTTTTTTTTTTTTTTTAAACCATGAGGAGGAGGTAGATACACATCTGTAATTCAGTGTGATAAGCACTGTGCTATGGGAGTGTGTAAAGATAGCACAGGCAGGGTGCGATGGCTCACGCCTGTAATGCCAGCACTTTGGGAGACCGAGGCAGGTGGATCACCTGAGGTCAGGAGTTCAAGACCAGCCTGACCAACATAGTGAAACCCTGTCTGTACTAAAAATACAGAAATTAGTCGGGCGTGGCGGTGCACTCCTGTAATCCCAGCTACTCAGGAGGCTGAGGAAGGAGAATTGCTTGAACCCAGGAGGCAGAGGTTGCAGTGAGCTGAGATCGTGCCACTGCATTCCAGCCTGGGCGACAGAGCAAGACTCTGGCAAAAAACGAAAGATATAAAGCACATTGGGAACTCAGAAGAGGCAAAGAAAGCCAGGCACATGGGTCAGAGAATTGTGGACCAGGAGGACCAGGACACTGGAGGCTGATTCCAGCGCATATCAAGTCGCTGTCAGCACTCCTGTGTGGCATAGCAGGAGAGCCTACTCTTACCTCTCATCTGAAGGATCCAGGCTGGCCCCTAGATATGGGGTAGGGTAGCCTGAGATCCCATCTGCTCAGTCACTTCTGGTCTCTCCTCACATGACTGTCCTAAAATTCAGAAGTCGGGGATCCTGACTCTAGCCCTTGCAGTATGGTGAGGGAGCAAGCGATGAACCTGAATGCAGATGCCAACCCCACCACTGGCCTTTGGCCTTTTCTGACCCCTCACTATCTGTCGATCCAAAGACTTTCCTTAACTCTGGTGCCTTCCCAAGCCATTGGGGCTCACTGTAGTGCATCCGTGGCCCTGTCCTTCTTCATATTCGAGCGTTGGGAGTGCACTACGTATTGGTACATTTTTGTCTTCTGCAGGTGTGGTAGCATCCAATATTCGGGAATGAGGGAGGAAGGCTGACCCTAAACCTGAGGGTTTTTCCCCCACCCAGCCCTTTCCTCTATGTGTGAGATACCAGATCCACTTAACATCCTGTAGTCTTTTGAATTTTCATTCCCTACCCCATGCCACCTGTCCTACACTTTCAGGGGTGGGGTCTCTGGTTTGGAGATTTGGGTATTTATATTGAAAGGGTTTCTGAATCTACCACTTGCCTCGGTAGTGCCCTTCCAGCTGTCACTGAAATGACTTTAGTCGTCACCGTCTTTGGGCTGAAAAAGAAACCTTTCTGAGCACCTTCATGACGGGAACCTAAGGACGAAGGCTACAGGGGCAAGGGCCGCTTCGTATTCCTGGAAGAAGGAAGGCATAGGCTTCAGTCCTCCCCTCGGAAACTGCTTCTGCTGGAGGATATGTGTTGGAATAATTACGTCTTGAGTCTGGGATTATCCGCATTGTATTTAGTGGTTTGTAATAAAATATGTTTTGTA